AGAGTGAATCGGCAACCAACAGAATGGGAAAACATTTTTGTAATCTACCCATCTGACAAAGGGCTGATGTCCAGAATCTACCAAGAACTAAAACAGATTTACAAGAAAAAAAACAAGCCCATTCAAAAGTGGGTGAAGGATATGAACAGACACTTTACAAAAGAAGACGTACATGAGGCCAACAAACATATGAAAAAATGCTCATCATCACTGGTCATTAGAGAAATGCAAATCAAAACTACATTGAGATACCATCTCACGGCAGTTAGAATGGCGATCATTAAAAAATCTGGAGACAACAGATGCTGGAGAGGATGTGGAGAAATAGGAACACTTTTACACTGTTGGTGGGAGTGTAAATTAGTTCAACCATTGTGGAAGACAGTGTGTCGATTCCTCAAGGACCTAGAAATAGAATTTCCATTTGACCCAGCAATCCCATTACTGGGTATATATCCAAAGGATTATAAATCATTCTACTATAAGGACACATGCACACAAATGTTCATTGCAGCACTGTTTACAATAGCAAAGACCTGGAACCAACCCAAATGCCCATTGATGATAGACTGGACAGGGAAAATGTGGCACACATACACTGTGGAATATTATGCAGCCATCAAAAACGATGAGTTAGTGTCCTTTGTAGGGACATGGATGAACCTGAAAACCATCATTCTCAGCAAACTGACACAAGAACAGAAAATCAAACACCGAATGTTCTCACTCATAGGCGGGTGTTGAACGATGAGAACACATGGACACAGGGAGGGGAGCATCACACACTGGGGTCTGTTGAGGGGAAATAGGAGAGGGACAGCAGGGGGTGGGGAGTTGGGGAGAGATAGCATGGGGAGAAATGCCAGATATAGGTGAAGGGGAGGAAGGCAGCAAATCATGCTGCCATGTGTGTACCTATGCAACAATCTTGCATGTTCTTCACATGTACTGCAAAACCTAAAATGCAATTTAAAAAAAAAAAGAAAAGAAATTTAAGGCTGGGTGCGGTGGCTCACACCTGTAATCCCAGCTCTTTGGGAGGCAAGGTGGACAGTTCACAAGGTCAGGAGTTCAAGACCAACCTGGCCAATATGGTGAAACCCTGTCTCTACTAAAAATACAAAAATTAGCTGGGCGTGGTGGTATGCATCTGTAGTCCCAGCTACTCAGAAGACTGAGGCAGGAGAATTGCTGGGACTCGGGAGGTGGAGGTCTTAGTGAGCTGAAATGGCGCTACTGCACTCCAGCCTGGGGGACAGAGCGAGACTCTGTCTCAAAAAACAACAAAAAAGGAGGTTTTGAAAGACACGAGAACAAATCAATGGTTTCAAAGAACAAATCAATGGTTTTAAAGGTCCTTCCCACTCTGATTCTGTGAATCTACTGGAATAAGCAGCACATCAAGGAGCAGTGCGTCTTTGAGAAAGCATTAAGGGCTCCACTGTACGAAGAAGTATTTAAGAAATTTCAGCCTGGGTGCAGTGGCTCACACCTGTAATCCCAGCTCTTTGGGAGGCAAGGCGGGCAGATCACGAAGTCAGGAGTTCAAGACCAACCTCGCCAATGTTGTCAAACCCTGTCTCTACTAAAAATACAAAAATTAGCTGGGCATGGCGGCATGTGTCTGTAGTCCCAGCTACTAAGGAGAGTGAGGCAGGAGAGTTGCTGGGACTCAGGAGGTGGAGGTTTTAGTGAGTTGAGATGGCGCCACTGTACTCCAGCCTGGGGGACACAGCAAGACTCTGTCTCAAATTTAAAAAAAAAATTTTTTTTTGAAAGACACTAGAACAAATCAATGGTTTCAAAGGCCCTTCCCACTCTGATTCTGTGAATCTACTGGAATAAGCAGCACATCAAGGAGCAGTGCATCATTGAAAAAGCATTAAGGGCTCCACTGTACCAAGAAGTATTTAAGAAATTTGAGGCTGGGTGCAGTGGTTCACACCTGTAATCCCAGCTCTTTGGGAGGCAAGGTGGACAGATCACGAGGTCAGGAGTTCGACACCAACCTGGCCAATATGGTGAAACACCATCTCTACTAAAAATACAAAAATTAGAGAGATCCAAGATGGCTGATCACTAGCAGCTCGGGATTGTAGCTCTCACTGAAAGCTCAGAGAACGAGAGGACGCCACACTTTCAGATCAATTTTTGCTGCTCACGCACTAGGTGATTCCCAGTGGAGGAGCCCCACAGGTTGCCAATGCGACTCTTGTGGCCAGCGCAGCGGTTTTGCCGCTGTCTTGGTGCGGAGGTTCTTGGTGCAGAGTCAGAAAAACACCATCAATCTTAATGCCGCTGTTTTGGCCGGTGCAGTGGGTTGCTCAGATTTCAGCGCCGGGAATCAACAAGTTGGACGTCCATTCAGAAACCCAATTATAAAGACGGTAATTATAAAGACCACAGATGGATAAATCTATAACGAAGGGAAGAAACCAGCCTAAAAAGGCTGAGAATACCCAAAATCAGAACGCCTCTCCCTCTACAGGGGATCACAGTTCCTCATCAGCAACGGAACAAGGCCTGATGGTGAAAGACTGTGTTCCATTAGCAGAAGCTGGCTTTAAAAAGTGGATGATAAGAAACTTCTGGGAATTAAAAGAACTTGTTCTAACCCAATGCAAAGAAACTAAGAACTTTGAAAAAAGGTTTGATGAAATGTTAACAATAAAAATACAAAAATTAGCCAGGCATGGTAGCATGTGTCTGTAGTCCCAGCTACTTGGGAGGCTGAGGCAGGAGAATTGCTTGAACCCAAGAGGCAGAGGTTGCAGTGAGCTGAGATTGTGCCACTGCACTCCAGCCTGGGCAACAGAGGGAGACTCCGTCTCAAAAAAAAAAAAAAAAGAAAAGAAATTTGAAGATGCAGCCAGGTGCCGTGGCTCATGCCTGTAATCCCAGCACTTTGAGAGGCTGAGGAAGGTGGATCACCTGAGGTCAGGAGTTCACGACCAGCCTGGCCAACATGGTGAAACCCCATCTCTACTAAAAATACAAAAATCAGTCGGGTGTGGAGTCATGCTCCTGTAACTCCAGCTACTCTGGCTGAGGCAGGAGAATCGGTTTGAACCCGGGCGGTGGAGGTTGCAGTGGGCCAAGATCATGCCACTGCACTCCAGCCTGGGTAACAGAGTGAGACTCTATGTCAAAAAAAGAAAGAAATTTGAAGATGCTTGGCCAAGTGTAATCCAGACTTGGAAGGCTGAAGTGGAAGGATCCTGTGAAGCTAGGAGTTCAAGACTACAGTGGTCTATGCCACTGTATCCCAGCATGCTCAACATAGCAAGACCCTATGTCTAAATAAAGAAATAAATAATTTTTTAAATTAAAAAAAAATTGAAGATGCTATTTGGACCAAAAAATCAGAAGAAGCCGGGCACAGTGACACATACTTGCAACTTTAGGAGGCTGAGGTTCTTGAGGCCAGGAGTTCAAGACCAGCCTGGACAATATAATAAGAACTTGTCTCACCAACAACACAAAAAATTAAAAATTAGCCAAGCATGGTAACACATGCCTGTAGTCCCCGCTACTTGGAAGACTGAGGTGAGAGAATCGCTGGAACCCAGGAGTCTGAGGTTACAGTGAGCTATGATTGTGCCACTGCACTCCAGCCTGGGTGACAGAGAGAGACCCTATTTCTAAAATAAATAAATAATCAGAAAAAGGAAATACTAAGTTTTTCACCTTTGGCACAAATAATGACTGTATCTTCTGTTCATTGAAATTGCAGTGCATACCCAATGTTTTGCTACATTATTGCTAATCCTTATTGAAATTCTGCAAAGTAAGTATTATCATCCCTACTTTTATAGTACAACAAACTGCAGCCCAGTGAATTTTGGTGACTTGTTCAAGTTTACCCAAGTAATACATAATAGAGCCAGAATTTGAACCCAGGTATCTGATTCCAAAGCCTGAACTTTTCTATTTTGAGAAAACAAAATATGCACAGAGCAGTAAAATGCCAATTAGTACCATCATCAAACATTCAAAAATTTCTTAATTCCTTGACACAATTAAACAATCGAAATACTATTATACATACTCCTACCCTTTTCCATAGTATTGCTCTATAGCTGTATAGCCCCATTAATCCAATGTCTGAATGAGGCTTCTTGTAAAAAGTTTTCTTCAGGCCAGGTGTGGTGGCTCACAGCTGTAATCCCAGCACTTTGGGAAGCCGAGGAGGGTGGATCACTTGAGGTCAGGAGTTCAAGACCAGCCTGGCCAACATGGTGAAATCCCATCTCTAAGAAAAAAAAGAAAAAGAAGAAGAAAAAAGTTTTCTTCAGTGTGTAATGGTATTGTGATTGTGCAGGAGAATATTACATTCCTATGGGATGCATGATGAAATATTTAAGGAGAAAATGGCATAATATCTGCAACTTATTTTCAATGGCTCAGCAAATAAATATCTCTCTCTCTATATATAAACACACAAAGCAAATATGGAAAAATATTCTCTACTGCTGAAACATAGGTAATGCGTATGTGGTATTCATTAAACCATTGTTAACTTTTCTGTATTCAAAAACATTTTTATAATAAATATTAAGGGCTAGGCATGGTGGTTCATGCCTGTAATCCCAGCACTCTGGGAGGCCAAGGTGAGCAGACCAGTCTGGACAACATGGCGAAATCCTGTCTCTACAAAAATTATAAAAATTAGCCAGGTGTGGTGGCATGCCTGTAGTCCCAGCTACTCATGAGCCTGAGGTGGGAGGATCACTTGAGCCCAGAAGGTCAAGACTGCAGTGAGCCATGATTTTGCCACTGCACTCTAGCCTGGGCGACAGAGTGAGACCCTGTCAATAAATAAATAAGTATTAAGGAAAAAATGCCTTTTCACTCCACTTGAAACACACACATACATTTAAACACACACACAAACAAGCCAACACCAGAAAAGTGGAAGCAATGCAAAGTCAAGAAAAGACAGCTGGAGCAAGGGCAAGAGCAGAAAGCATGCCGGAAGTCATGGAAATTGTTTTATTTACCTTAAATGTAAAATTTGCATCAAACATGAGTTCTTTTTCGTGTCCTGTAATTCCTCCACTGTAAATAACTTGGCATCTCCTGGCTGGTCCTGTCTTAGAGCATTTGAAGAGGCGAAATGTTGCAGAAACAAAACGACAGTCACCTAAAACCAGAATTTATCCACGGTTCAAATCCAGCACTCCCTCAGCAGACAACGAGCAAACAAGTTATAAAGATGACTTTCTTCTTTGCATCTCATCAGTTATCTTTCTGGGCACTTCACTCTATTTACTGAATGACTTCAAAGTGCTTTATTAAATATCAAAATTGGGGGGGGTTACCATTATACAGGAGACAAGATAGCTATTTCCAGATAACACAAAGTATCCCTCAAGTATCAGAAGCCCCTTACTAATCACCGAATTTCAATCATTCAAGTTGTAGTTATAATAGTCCCTGCTGTCTGTCATAGCTTACCGATAACTCTTTCCAGTTCCTTGTTTTGAATTGAAATGTGATTGGCAGTGACCAAACGTGGAGGGCAGAACCCAATTTTTTGAGCAAGGATAGCAAGTTCCTTCCAGTACAAAGCACCACCCAGACACTCACCTAAAAAACAAAAAACAAGCAAACAAGCAAAAAAAAAAAAAAAAAAAAAGAAACCACCTAAATGATTTCCAATGGCAAAATGATTACAGTACGGTATAGCTATACAATACAATTGTGTAATACAAACTTTAAAAAAATTTTTTTTAATTTAGGCCAAAGACACAAAATTAGAAACTACATTCTATATATGGCATGCCCCCAATTTTATTATACACATGCACAGAAAGAAACCAAACTACATGAATATTTCCTAAAATGTTAAAGAGGTTATCACTGGGTTATTTGATGATAAGTAATTTTTTTTAAGAGACAGGGCTTTACTATGATGCCCAGGCTGTACCCAAACTTCCAGATTCAAGCAATCCACCTGCCTCAGCCTCCCAAATATCTGAGATTACAGGTGTGTGCCACTATGTCCAACTTAGCAATTTTTTCTTTTTTTTTTTTTGCACTTTCTAACTTATTAACAGTATCAATTTATTATTACATAAGAATAAAGTTAATATTATTTTAAGAATAAGAACTTTTGGCCCGGCACGGTGGCTCATGCCTGTAATTCCAACACGTTGGGAGGCTGAGGCAGGCGGATCACAAAGTCAAGAGATCAAGTCCATCCTGGCCACCGTGGTGAAATCCTATCTCTACTAAAAATACAAAAAAATTTAGCTGGGTGTGGTGGTGCATGCCTGTATCCCAAATACTCAGGAGGCTGAGGCAGGAGAATTGCTTGAAACCAGAAAATGGAAGTTGCAGTGATTCGGGATCATGCCATTGCACTCCAGCCTGGTGATAGAGTGAGACTCTCTCAAAAAAAAAAAAAAAAAAAAAAAAGAATAAGAACTTTTGATTTCATAGTCAGACTGATGAAAAGCATGCATTTATCTCAACTTCCAGAGACTATTAAAATGATAATAAAGGAATAAACAAGACAATAATGATGAGAACATAAAGGGACTTAGAGGGCATCAGCTCTGGAACAACTGTCCTCATTTCTGCACTAGAGTTTTCAAAGTATTTTTCCCATTCTTTATCCCATTTAATCTTCATAACAGCCCTATAAGACAGATTGTATTGTTATTTACATTTTACAGTTTGGAAAACAATAACTCAAAGAGATGAATTAAACTATCCAAAGCCCTATCACTTTTGAATGGCAGAGGAAGAATGGAACCTTGGCCTCGTATGAGGCCTAATCCCACGTGGTCTCATATCATATAGCCTCATCCTGGCTATTAGCAGAAAGGAGCTCTGCACAAGCAACCATCTGCCTTAAAACTAATCAAAACAAAATCACCTACCCCATAAAACTTTGTGTGTCCTGATTTCTTCTGGCAGTTCAAGGCTCACATAGACGTCACTGAAATATAACTCCCCACCATACTGAAACAGACCCACATTAGTCCAAATAAGATTAATGATTACATTGATCCCAGATAACAAAGAAAGGAATAAGGGAACAAAGTCAAATCTAAAAATCAATAGCAATGTTTAAGCTGACCCTTTGTGAACAAATAACAGCTGCCTCTTCAGTTATAATCAATAGTCAAGTGCCAGGATTTTTTTCCTCCCAGTGGCTTATCCAACAGGTAATAAAATCACATTCTAAGAGTGTCTGTCTCCTAAATAAAGAGATTTAGGTTACTTAAATTTTTAGCCAATCTGAACCAAAAGCAGCCCCAGGTCACTGGAGAACTAACGGAAGATATAATCCGTATTCATAAACTTTTATCGCTTAAGAATAATATAACTTTGTCAGGTATGATGGCTCATGCCTCTCATCGCAGTGACTCAGGAGACTGAAGTGGGAGGATTGCTGGAGGTTAGCAGTTTCAGACTAGCCTTGATAACAGAGCAAGACCATCTCTCCAATACAGAAATTTAAAAATTAGTTGGGCAGGCCGGGCACGGTAGCTCACGCCTGTAATCCCAGCACTTTGGGAGGCCAAGGCTGGCAGATCACAAGGTCAGGAGTTCAAGACCAGCCTGACCAACATGATGAAACCCCGTCTCTACCAAAAATACAAAAAAAAAATTAGCTGGGTGAGGTGGCAACGCTTGTAATCCCAGCTACTCAGGAGGCTGAGGCAGGAGAATCGCTTGAACCTGGGAGGCAGAGGTTGCAGTGAGCCAAGATTGTGCCATTGCAACCCAGCCTGGGTGACAGAGTGAGACCCTCTCAAAAAAAAAAAAAGATTAGCTGGGCATGGTGCCATGTGCCTGGAATCCTAGCTACTCAAGAGGATCGTTTGAGCCCAGGAGTTGGAGGCTGCAGTGAGCTATTATAGTGACACTATACTCCAGCCTGGGTGACAGCAACACCCCATTTCTATTAAAAAATATAACTTTTTGTAATGTTATTTACTTTTATAACAACACATTTTATCTTTAAAATACTGTCCTTAAAATGTAAAGCAAATGAGTGATCAGGATCTTAACATTTTATTTGGCTAATTTCAAAAATTTGGAAACCTGCAGATCTAGATTCTACAATAGTGTTTCTACCTTTTTTTTTTTTTGAGACAGAGTCTCACTCTGTCACCAGGCTGGAGTTCAGTGGCGCAATCTTGACTCACTGCAACCTCTGACTCTGGTTCAAGTGATTCTCCTGCCTCAGCATCCCCAGTAGCTGGGATTGCAGGTGCTTACCACCTCACCTGGCTAATTTTCTTTTTTGTATTTTTAGTAGAGATGGGGTTTCATCATGTTGGCCAGGATGGTCTCGACCTCCTAAGCTCATGATCCATCCGCCTCAGACTCCCAGAGTGCTGGGATTACAGGTCTGAGACACCGAGCCCGGCCTCTACCTTTTATAAGTATATTTTTGGTGGAGATAGTGAACTGGTCTGTAAAATGGCATACTAACAAAGACATCACTAAATCATTAAATCATTTCTACATAAGTATTTGTATTTGAGTTCTATGATAGCTTTGTAAACCAAATATCTCAAAAACATATTTTTAATTAAAAAAATTTTTTTAGAGATAGGTGTCTCACTATATTGCCCAGGCTGGACACAAACTCCATCCAAGTAACTAGGAGTACAGGCATGTACCACCCACCCAGCTAGAATCTTTTTTTTTTTTTTTTTTTTTTAAGATGGAATCTCGCTCTGTCTCCCAGTCTGGAGTGCAATGGTGAGATCTCGGCTCACTGCAACCTCTGCCTTCTGGGTTCAAGTGATTCTCCTACCACAGCCTCCTGAGGAGCTGGGATTATAGGTGCACATCACCACAGTCAGCTAATTTTTATAGTTTTAGTAGAGATGGAGTTTCATCATGTTGGCCAGGCTCAAAGTCCTGACCTCAGGTGATCCGCCCACCTTGGCCTCCCACAGTGCTAGAATTACAGGTGTGAGCTACTGTGCCCAGCAGAATCTTTCATCTCCTATCACGAAAATACATATTTCATGATACAATGAAGGCTGTGGAGCTCCTGCAAGCTTTCCTTTTAGAAAGTAGTTAATATAGGGCCGGGTGTGGTGGCTCATGTCTGTAATCCCAGCACTTTGGGAGGCCAAGGTGGGTGGATCACGAGATCAGGAGTTTGAGACCAGCCTGACCAACATGGTGAAACCCCATCTCTACTAAAAATACAAAAATTAGCCGGGTAGTGGTGCATGCCTGTAATCCCAGCTACTCAGGAGGCTGAGGCAGGAGAATTGCGGGAGGCAGAGGTTGCCGTGAACCAGGATCATGCCACTACACTCCAGCCTTGGTGACGGACCGAGACCCTGTCTCGAAAAAAAAAAAGAAAGAAAGAGAGTAGTTAATATAAAAGTTCCATCTTCTGTAACTTCCTAAAGATCTGAAATCATGACAGATAAGAAATAAGAAGCCCTGAGAAACACTGTACATGCTAGAAGAGAGTTTATTCAAAGCAATCATTAGTAGTTAGTGCAAAGGTTCCTACAGCTCCACAGATGCTGTTCTAGGATCATGTATAGCAGGAAATAGGAAGAGAGACAGTCAAGAAAGCAAATACCTTAACACATGCAGTGACAATTGTCACTTTGGGTTTATTACCTCTTGCAACCTGAGAGGGAAAGTAATCCATATCCAGTGTATTTCTGTCCCTTCCCCGTTTTGCCATCCCTTTTTCATTTAATGGATAAATTAAGGAAGTTTGAGCTCTCAGTTCACGGGGGAAACAAACAAGACTGAACCCATCAGCTCTCACTGATGTTCAAAGGTAATTGATCTCACTCTCCTCCTCACCTTCAGTACCCGATATGCCTCCTGCAGCACTTGTTGTTTATCAGGCACAAGGTTAATAACACAGTTTGATCTAAAAGAGAACAAATGAAATGTCGAGCAAATCTTCACAATACTCAAAAATCTGCAAGTCCTTTTAGACCCTAAAGGTGGCTCCCACTGTTCTGTTCAAAGCTACTCCATTCTCCCTGCCTCCCTCCTCTCTTCCTAATGCCGTCAACTAACCTTTTCCCCAAGATCACAGACAGAGTGTTTAAAATCTCAATAAATTCTTGGCAAGTCTGAATGTGCAGAAAAAAAATATCAGACATGATTCTTATTTGTTTCTGTCCTGATGGTCACCATGTAACAAGATGAAAACTCGGACCAGATGCTTACTGCAGAAAGCATTTCTGATGCCCCATGTAAACTGGCTGCATTCCTCAAAGGCAGCTTTCTTAAGGCTGTCACTTGGGCACCATTTGACAATAACAACTTGAAGGAAAAAGGGAAACATAATCCTTATCATTTGCCATGGAAGTATTATGAAAGATAATAGGGCACCATGTATTGTAGGAGCAAACTTAGCGGTCCTGCTGGTCTTTTGGGTTCATTAGTTTGTGGTTAAGTTTCAAGTAAGTTCTCTCTTGGTCTGTTGTGTTTGGTGGGCTCCAGCATCTCAAACCAGCTCTCTCCCATTAGTAAGCCATGAGCTTAGTCTAACACACTAAATGAAAGTCAATTCAGCAAACAGTAGCAGTGACATCTGTGTGTTCAAAAGGAAATGAGGGCTGGGTGTGGTGGTTCACACCTGTAATCCCAGCACTTTAGGAGGCCGAAGTTGGTGGATCACCAGAGGTCACGAGTTTGAGACCATCCTAGCCAACATGGTGAAATCTTATCTCTACTTAAAAAAAAAGAAAAAAGATTTAAAATATTACCTGGATGTGGTATCATGTGCCTGTAATCCCAGCTACTTGGGAGGCAGAGGTTACAGTGAGCTGAGATTGGGCCACTGCACTCCAGCCTGGGCAACAGAGCAAGAGTTCATCTCAAAAAAATTTTTTAAATTAAAAATAAAAAAATGGGCTATACTCATAACAGTAAGAATATAGACCTACACAACAATATCATAGCTCTCATTCTTGATTCCAGCCTGTCCCAACTTCTCGATGTAGCCATGAATAAAAGTCACATTAGATGACTGGAAGCCATATTTTTTCATGTGATAGTCAAGATACTTTTCAGCCACTTCCACCTAAAGGAAGAAAAATATAGTTTTGACAACATTTTGAAAAAAAAAATTTTTTTCCTAAAACTTTTCTTATTATATACTTCTCCTAGATTATTTTGGATAAATATACAAGATTCCTGTGGACATGTAGGCTATACTATATCCTGGGACACAAAGTCCCTGCTGCCCATGCAGTTTTGCTTGAATAAACTCCTCATTCAATAACAAAATCTTTCAGGATAGACGGCAGCAAGAAGGGAAAGATCAAAGTCCACTCTGTCATCACGATATTCAACAGAGCAAACCTCCGACTCTTGTGTTTGCCCAGAAGAGCCTCTAATTGTCTAAGTTATCAGCTTCCAAGACAGGAAGCACTAGTGGCACAAATGAGCATTGCTAACTAGAGGCTTTCGTAAATTATTCTTGAAGAGCCATGAAGAAAACAACTTCATTTCTCAAAGAATGCTTTTGAGAATCTTTTCCTTCTTGTCTTCCAAGTCATTGCCTCACCTGGCCTTTAGTCATGTCTATTCCAGTCACATGTCCCTTTTCACCAACCAGCTGGCTAAGTACATAGCAATCTCTGCCACTTCCACTACCCAGATCCAAAATCCAGCAGTTTTCTAGATGCTCGGGGATCACCAGACCACAGCCATAATACCTGGGAAATGGAAAACACATATTTTTTCCCTGGAGACTAGAAGACATGAAACCACTAAATCTTATACATACTTCCCTTCTTCCTTTCTTCCTCCCTCCCTCCTTTCCTTCCTTCCTTTCTTCCTTCCACTCACTCATACTTCTGTTTTGATATTTAGTCTCCACTAAACTGATGTCCATGAAGGCTGGGACTATATCTGCTTTACCACAGTATCATTGAGCATATGCTAGGCACTAAGACTTCATAAGCCATCTAAAATAATGTGATCAGTCTGGGCGTGGTGGCTCATGCCTGTAATCCCAGCACTTTGGGAGGTCGAGGCAGGCAGATCACTTGAGGCAAGGAGTTCAAGACCAGCCTGGCCAATATGGTGAAACTCTGTCTCTACTAAAAACACACAAAAAAATCAGCCAGGCCTGGTAGCAGGTGCCTGTAATCCCAGCTATTCAGGAGGCTGAGGCAGGAGAATCGCTTGAACCTAGGAGGCAGAGGTTGCAGTGAGCTGAGATGGCGCCACTGCACTCCAGCCTAAGTGACAGAGACTTCGTCTCAAAAAATAAGTAAATAAAATAAAATAATGTGTTCAATAAATACATTTAGGCATTAGCTGAGCTTCTAATTCAGGCCCAGTTATTGAGGAAGAAATGTAAGGTTTCTGTTCTGTAGGTATGGAGTGCAGTGGCTATTCACATCCTGGATCGCACACTCCAGCCTGGAACTTCTGGGCTCACGTGATCCTCTGCCTCATAGCGAGGACCTGGGACTACAGGCTCACTAGCGTGCCCAGATTCATGGGAGGTTCTTAGAGCAGTAAGATAATGGGTGCTGAGATTTAGGATTTTTACAATAGTCAAGACAAGCTGGATGGGTTGGTGGCTACGGGTTAATTCCCTAGTGACCTGCATCACTATCTTTTGGGCAAACTGCAGTTTGGGGTCTTCCTGGGGACAGCGCGGGGCACTCTACCTTAGGGCTACTTCTTCGTGTACATTTTGCAAGGCTTCCCGGATGTGCTTGGGGACCGGCCTGGCTGTGGTGACACAGGCATTGGTCTGGAGGTCTGCCGATTTCTTCAGCACCTGCCCGTAGTAGGTCTGACACAGCGACGACAGTGGAGTGAGGAGCAGGGAGGGAGAAGAGCTGTGACTGCAGCGCGAGGGCTCTGTCACCACCTCCACCTCCACCTCCACTTGGTGGACCTCAGCTCGCCGCAAAGGTCGAAGCCTAGACCCTGCCCTGCCCCGACTCCAGGGGTCCCGGGGGACAGGGCGCGGGCCAGGCCGGACTTCCATCAGCCTAGGCTCCACTTGGGCCAACCCAGGCCCTACAGCTCTCACCTGCACGTCCTTCTGGATCTCAGTGTCCTCGCGGAGCGCAGCCACTGTCGGGAGAGGGAACGGTAGTTGAAAGGAAGAGCGTGCTGAGTCACAGGCATGTGAGAGGGGGCCGGCAAGGGGCAGGCAGCGGGTCAAGGGGTGCGGGGAGGACCAAGGTCTCGAGAAGCAGCTCTGGGTAGGCGCTAACGCTAGAGCTCCCGCCTGGCCGGGGGCCCAGGGAAGGGGCTGGGGGCTTGCAGGGGGTCCTGCAGTGGGGCCGGGGCGGGACGTTCACTCACTGTCTCCTCAGCCTGGGACTCCGGAAAGCAGGTTCCTGCAGCCAGCTCCAGTGCCCAGGCCCCGCCCAGGCTGGCAGCTCCCACCCACCTGGCCCGCTCCAGGGTCCCGCTTGATCCCTCCACTGTGATTTTCAGGGATAAATCTCATACTCTGACTTAAATGAACACTCACCTATATAATGATCTTCCCCCTCCCCCTTTTTGGGAATGGAATCACCT